TTTTTCCATACCATTAATATGTACATACGTATAGAATATGACCATTTCTTCAAAGATATATATATATATATATATATTATGACCATACATACATGATAGGATACGTTTAGATGAATTTAGCTTCAATATTACTTTCTCAGTTTTTCCATTTTTGCCGCCTCCTTTTGCATTCAACGACCGAGTGTGATTAAGGAAAAGAATGTACAACGAGTCAAGTCTGATGACTCTGATCTAATCTCTAGCGAACCTAAATGATGTCAGTTCCAATATATAGTTCTTAAAAAGGATAATGCTAGGGGGCCGACCCCATAGCTAGGGCTGGGCATTTTTAAATCAAATTGATAGTTTATTCAAAAATTGAACCAAAAAAATGAATTTAGTTTAGTTTTAAAATGGTTTTTGATTCTATTTTTTTGGTTTTGATATTAATTAAATATATTTTGGTTCAATTTTAATTGAGTTTCTCAAAAACCAAAAATCAAAAATAAGTCATTGAAAAACTAAAATTAAAATAAATATGATAAAATATGTGATAAAATATAATATATTATTAAAAAATAATTTATTATTATTTATTTATCAAAAATCAAAATTGAAGCGATTTTAAATCGATTTATTGATAACTGAATTGATCGATTTTTATAATTTTAGTTCTCAAAATTAGAAAAAAAAAATTTCGATTATTTTAAAACCAGCTTTCAATTTTAACCAGAAATCAGTTTTGCCCACCCCTACCCATAGCAAGCCGAAGGAGGCAGGCCTCGGGGGACTAATAAAAAATTTTTTTTAAGTCAAATTTATATTTAAAAAATTAAAAAATTAAATTAAAACTTTTATAAATCAACGGAGGGATATACTCTATTTTATTAAATAAAAAAAAAATCAGGTCTACTATTGATGGGAATGCTTATATTTTATTATTTTCTTTGTTTTGGAATGCCCTCTGAATTTAAATTTTTGGTAAAAAACATTATAAAAATCTGTGCCTGGATGGCCTCTTAATCAAAATATGCCATTTTAACCTAAATATAAAAAGTTGAATTAAAGTTTCATTTGGGATTGTTGGTGGTTGTGGTATTTTATAAGTCTTGAACTGTTAAGCGTGGTATCTATAAATGAATAAGTGTTATCTTATGAATTAAATTTATGATTTAAGTTTATTT